CCCTTCTGCTGTATTGCATTTTTAGTGGATGTATGGTAAGTTGAAGTCCCCCACAAGAGCAAGGGCCAGCGACTGTGGGACCTCTTCCAGCTGAACTTTGCCAACCTCTTCATCTTGATTGGGTGGTCTGTAACAGACTCTTACCATGATGTCTGCCTTGTTGGCCTTCTCCTGAGCCTTACCTGTAAATACTCAACTCTACTGTCATGATCATTAAGCTCTGGACAATCAAAACACTGCCTAACATGGAGGGCTAGTACCCCCACTACCTCTCCTTACTTGCCTGTCCCTTCTGAAGGGTTTATAGCCATCCTGTGCAGCACTCCAGTGGTGTGAGTCATCTCACCGTGTTTCCATAATGGCAACTATGTCACAGTTTTCCTGCTACACAGTGGCTTCCAGCTCCTCATTGTTGCCCACGCTCTGTACATTGGGGTAGCCGCACTTCAGTTGGGCTGTCGATCCCACCACCTTTTTGGGGTGAGAAGCCCCAGTTCTTACGTGGCAGTTCTTGAGCACTTCTATGGTTTCCAGCACGTCAGTAATCCTTGCGTCTTTAGTATCGCATGGATCTCCATTCCCTACCTCCACTGAGGCGGCAAACCAAAGGACCTTATTAGCGCGCTGTCCCTCGAATCACAGAATGTTAGAGGTTGGATCGGACCTCAGAAGATCATCTAGTCCAGCCCCCCTGCCAGAGCAGGATCACCTACAGTAGGTCACACAGGAACGCGTCCAGGAGGGTTTTGAAAGTCTCCAGAGAAGGAGATTCCATGACCTCCCTGGGCAGCCTGTGCCAGTGCTCTGTCACCCTCACAGGGAAACAGTTTTTCTTGATGTTTTTGTGGAACCTTTTATGCTCCAGCTTGGATGTCTTGCCCTTTGTCCTGTCAATATCTCTGTGCTGCCCCCAGGCTTAACTCCATTGGGCCTGTTTTCACCTCCTTCCCCCTTCAAACCTCCTTTAAAGCTTTTTGAGTGAGCTGTGCGAACTCCTATGCAAAGATCTTTTTCATGTTTTGTGAGAGGTGTAATCCGTCTGTTGCCAGCAACCCTGGTATTGTGTAAGCCTACCTATGATCAAAAAAAATGAAATTTTGCCAGTTACACCAGGCTTAGAGACAGGTATTGATCTGCTGTTGGCAAATCTTTATTTTGAAAGTGACATCCAGGATATACTTAACTTACACAAACATTAATATGTGGTCAGGAATAGCTTAAAGTACTGCAAAATACCAGCAGTTAGAACATTGGCATGTTAGTATCACTTGCTTGAATTCTAAGTATAAATGCCATTCTGGAAAAGGGAAAAAAAACATACCATGCTTCAAATACGTTAAGTGCGTTAGCAGCATACTGTAGAAAAACTTGCCAATGTCTGTGGCTGGGCAAAATTATAATGTTTAATAGTTACAGAGCAAATACAGAATTTTTCTTATGCTTACAATTTCTTGAGGATCTCACTTGGGCTTAAAGGATTAAATAGTATTCGTTATAGTAAAAGTCAGGCTTTTGCAAACCTATGAGAATATATGGTAGGAGTAAGCATGAAAATCACATCAGCAACTGAGCATATGCGACTAAACCAGCAATAGCAGTAGTCATTACTTAGATATGCTTTTTGAAGTTGTGTATTAATTGATGACGCAGCTCCTGGAAGCATTAAGGATGAATGAAGTACTTATCCTAAATTCACTGGTGCTGCATTTTAAGCTGAGTATCAGATGTACATTTATTTTTATCTGTTTAAAGTAAGCAAATACCCATTCTGTGAAATAGGCAAATGTGGAGAACTTCCAAATCGTTGGCTATAAACAGATTTTTCTTTACTCCTGCCAAGATGTGTTCCTCCCCTTTCTTCTGCTTTTTTACTGCTTTCTGTAATTACTGCATCATTCTGAAGCTGTGTGATTAGTAACTCCCTATTAGAAGGCAGTGCAAAGTGCAAAGAATGCAGATATTTATCACTAACAAATCACGAAGCTCGCATCCCAGCCGCATTAGATGGCAAACTAGTAATTTAAGCACTAGCTGCAACAGCCTTTCCAATTGCTTTTAAAATGTTCTGCATGCTATCATTCCATGCTGTATGATTCCTGAGAGATAATAATGCCTTTGTAACTTGAAAGCTTTCGCTCAGTGCATGTAGCACTACATTTTTGTGGGTTAGTTTGCATGATAGCTGGAAATACTATTGTGTATTGAGGCAGCAATCACACAAGCAGAGTTTCTCTTAATTCAGACTGTGTTTGCTTTGGATAACAAGGATGATGCACCTACTAAGAGAAAAATTGCAACAAACTTGTTATGAGTTTCTAGATTGCTTTTGTCTTAAGGCGGGGGAAAAAATGCAAACACTTCTGTTTGAATTTTCCAATGCTCTTAAAGGCACAGTGCACATCTTTTGGATGTGATGGACCTTTTGCATTAAAGTTAATGCTTTGGAAATATTTAAACAAATCACTAATACATGATAATTTCACTGTTGGAATATGGGTTCTAAGAGTTTCCTGTTTCAGTGTGTTTTAAATGTCCTGCAGGAACAAAAGCCTGCATTTTTTAGATTCCATGTGGTGATTTAGAGAGAATTCTTGATGCATCCTTCCTCCTACCTGAATCTCCTTTTAACGTGCACACACACTCCACTCTGCCCATGCCCTAGTCCTGCTTTAGCATAATTCCTTCAGGAGCTAATGGAGTTCCTCTGCAACATAAATAAAATAGGTGGCACAAAATGCGTGATGTTGATGTGAGATTGTATCCCTGGCTTTCTTGAGCTGAAGTTAAACTTGCCTTTTTGGCAGCTACCGAGAGTGGATTTTGCCAATACTCTGTCGAGTACGTTGGCTCAATTTCCTGCCAGCTTGTAGCCAACGAGAGTTGGGATGACAGGTAGCTGTGTACTGTCTTGTGATGCGGGGGATATTCGTTAAAGCAAATGATCTATTAAATGTGAAATAGAGACCCATATTTCACGGTACACTGCATAATAGTATGAGATGGTATGGGATTGCTGTTGCCTTGCCTTTGGTTTGTTGTTCTGGGGGTTTTTTTAATGCCTGAAGAAATTTCTGAAGTTTTGTTGATGCGCATGAGCGCTTAAATGTAATCTGATTCTATATTAAAACTTTTCAAATATGATTGCTGAGGTGCAGGAGAAACATAACTGCATGTGTTTTCTTTCTGCAGGGATGAATTGTAAAAGCTACATCATCTTGACCCAAACATAGTGTTACAGTGGACTGCTCATCTCCAGTTCTAAAAGCTTTTTGAAAACCAACAGCATTGCAGCTTGTTTTGGACTTCGTTATACTGTTGTTATCAGCATGGAAAAGCGTGGTGTTTGTTTTATTTTTTTAGATGCTCAAGGCAAATCTGATAAAGAAATGGTGGAAAGTTTTATGTGGGCACTGTTTTATTTAACATGCCTTGATTTTACTTTCATCTGTTCAAAGTGAATTTCTGCAAAACTGCAGATAAAGACCTATAGCTTGTGAACTCTAATTTTGATGGGAGTACTTGAACACTCACTTCTCTTGGCTCCTGTGTCCCTTGGTAAAACTGCTTCTGTGCACCTTATGACACTACCTAGGTAATACCAGGTTTTCTGTGTTCCAATGTCTGCTAGATGCTACTAAAAGGAAATGAACTTCCTTTTTAAGCTTTTGACATGGTGTCATAGACTAGCATGTAGTAGATACAATCAGCTGCTTTATTACCTTACAACCAGCCGTTTGTATATATTGAACTTGAAGATGTCAGAGGTGGGTGGCCGCTCTTATCGAACATTGCTGTTAAAGCTGGACATACCAGACGTGGTTTTCCCTTTCCTTGAAAAATTAATTAATGGGAGTCTTGAAATTCTGTTTTGGTTTATAGCTCACTACTGATGTGTGATACACGTGGATTTTGCTCCATAAACATGATGTAAGCTGCGTCCCAATCACTGGACAGGTTATGCAGTGCTGCTTTGCCAAATAAAATTAAAAGCAAAAGGGAAGCTGTGCGCTTGTGTGGAAGATGAGGATCAGTATGTAGCAGACTACTGAGATATGGATTGCTAGGTTCTTTATTAAAAAAATAATCCAGTTAGGTTCTAAGGAAAGTTGCTTTTGGCAAAGTCATTTGCTGTATTAACGTTCTTATTTTGCTAACTATGGACACCCAAGAAAAATTCTGGCTTTTTGGAAAGTGAATTCTTAATTGCTATACAAGGAAGGCATGATACATGTGGAAGGAATAGCGAATCCTGGACTGTTAAGTGCAGATAGAGATGCAGTTGTTCAGTTTGTATATGGAAGAGTAGTTGGAAGGCTATAAACCTTTCTTCTGCCCCAAGTTTTCTGTTTTGGCACTATAAGATATCTACAGCAAATTGTGAAGCAGTACAGTAAGGTGGACTGCTTTGGCAAAGGGGAGAAGTGTGTCTTGAGTCATCTTACTAAGATGTGAGCAACCAGGAACTAAACAGCATGTAAACATTTTTTTTTTTGTAAAAAGGATTGTAGATTAAGATTACTTGCATGAAAACAACCCACTGCAGAAATAATTTGACTTTTTATGGTGGAAAAGCACTAATTTTGTGATGTGATTAATCCCTGAAAGCGTAAAGGTTAAAATACGAAGGCCTCTGAATATAAAAGAGGAACATTTTAAATCACCTTCCTTGTGAAGGTCAGCCCCATCCTATCCCTGTGTAAAAGATATGTATAAATTTATTTAGATGTTTGGAAGTTAATGTACCACGCCCTGATTGACTGCAGCCTGGGAGCACAAACACAAGATTAGTCTTATAAAGGAATCAATACAGCGTGTATGCTAGAAAATACAATTCAGAGAAACCCACTTGCGTCTGACAAATTTGTACTAACTCACAATCAACTGTGAATCTAGTTCTTGATGTTGAAGTGAAATATCTTAAATGATGCATGCTAATGTTCAACCTTTTGGTCACTGTATCATTCAATTTGAGTTCAGCTTTATTTACATCTTCTCACTAATTTAATACGTTAAATGAAATATACGAGCTCAACTGTATCCGAAGTCTCTGGACACAGTGTGTGTAATAAGCTAGCCTAACTTGGAAGAGGTGATAAAGCTGAGACCCGGCAAGAACTTTTTTGGGGAGAACCCCTTCAGGAGGTGTAAGGCTTCAGGGACCAAGGCTGTTGGGATTAGTGCACCAATTCCACTGAAGGGGTTGGTGATATTCCAGGTACTCAGACAGAAAGGAGTACCCAGGAGTAGCATTTAGGAATTGGAAAATGAAAACCCCTCCATGATGGAGCAATGGTTCTGAAGTAAAAGCTTTTTGGAGAAGAGGACAAGGGGAAATGCAGAAGATTTGAAGAGCTTGAATAAATGCTGTGTGAACTGTCTGAATTGCTACTTTGCCAAATAAAACAATTTGAGAGGAAGCTGTGTCTAGGTGTCTGTCTGGTTTTGTGGTTTTTTTCTTGGTTGATTTGGATTGTTTTGGGTTTTGCTTTTTTGCTTTTTTACTTCCACAGGACTTCACAAGCCCTCTAAGAAAGCAAGCGTATATAAAACTACTAGTTTACTAAATGACCAGAACAATGTGTCTGGTTTTAGTTAATTAATGTATTGCAGCATATTGCAGCAATTGCCAAGCCTGGTGAGACCATACAGAATGTTAAGTGGAGTTTACCTGGCTGTTTGCAGTTTATTTTAGTTCACATCTATGTGTTTCAGGGAACAGGCAGTCTGTGAATTCTGCCTGTCCTCCATGGCTGTATCCAGCTAGCTAGGATTGTGTGATCTGATTAAAATTCATCTTTTTATAAGAGGTGCAGCGCTGTTTCACTGGATTGTCATGATTGTCTCTAAACCAGAAAAACCTGCGAGAATAGATGGGCTGAAATATAGTCACTTGTCCAGTTGTTTCCAGGGATCAGGCAGAAGAAGACCTCCGGCATTGGAGCAGAGGAACCGAGACCCCACACCTGTACCTTGAAAACCCATGAACAGCTGTGAGTGCTCCGCAGCGAGGAGCAGTTTGGTGTGCCATGTGGATGCTTTCTGTTTGCCTAGCAGAAATGACCTCTTTGTTACTTCCATTCAAACTAGTCAGCTAACTAGAGGGCATAGAGACTGTTACGTGTTTGGGGGGTTTTTTTGGAGGGAAACTAGCACATGGGGAGGGTGAACCAGCACTGCTGAGTGAGGCCAACTGGATGATTCCTGAAATGTTTTTGTAGACAGCGAGTTTGAAATGGACAATGACGCCTGGAGCAGGAGGGCTCTACGTGGTAGGCTCTGGAGCGCCCAGCTGGCAGGAGTTTCCTCTGCGTGTGCAGTGTTTTTGTGACAAGGTGGCAAGCTCCAGGGTTTTCAAGTGTGGGGGGATTGGAATTAACCATCAGCACAAAAAGGTCAGCTAAAATGCCCAGAGGAAATCTCTGAACTTCCTGCCAGCAAGAAGGGTGCGAAGCCATTCTTCCATCAGCAGTATTTTCTTCCTTCTACTCATTCACATGCCCTAGGATGTGCTGCATTCAAATTAAATGCAGCTCACCAAAAGAGGATATGGTTGCAATTCCTTCTTGATTTGACATGGTGCAGAGAATGGGTAATGCAAACCAAGCTTGTGATTTGTCTCTCTGGTTCCCTTTAGCTGATTTTGAACATATTGATCAGTAATATTAACTGCCTTTATGGAACCCTCGTTCTTTGTGCCAAATTATGTGGAAGAGGTGTTTTGCTGAAGTGAATAAGCAGTGGTCCTGGCTCAGAAAAAAAGGCATGATGAGGTTATACCAGCACATTGCGCACAACAAAACAACAATGAAACAGGAGAAAAAAAAGGGGAAGCACTGCCCAAAAGGCAACACGGGTGTGCAGGGGGATTCATGAGGTCTGAAATTGGTCTTTTGCATTTCAGGACATCCAGACTTTACACATCAGGAAGTGTAAATTAGAGTTTAAACACTGTGGTATACAACAGATGGATTCCAGCATGGAGTTTAAGTTGTTTTTGTTGTTGCCTTTGTTGGCTTTGTTTGAGTTTCCATCTGTCTGCTTGTAATTGTGAAAGATTGAAGACCAGCTGTGGGAAGGGCACTGATACCCTTAAGGTATCATGAGCCCTTTTTGCCTTTGCTGTAATTGATACACACTTGTGTGTTCAGAGCACCAGTGGTTTGGCCTCAGAGTAAAATCATTTCGGGCTAAAACTCGGCCTTATGCAGGCAGAGACATTATAGACGTTCCTCTGCCTGACTTGACTTATTTACTTGCCATATTTTTCATCCTTGACATATGGGGTTGCTTTCTTTTCCAGGTGGTAGGTTGCAGCACAAATTTGTAACACGGCTGATGCATTCTGAGTTTTCCCATGAAAGGCTGTTATTGTTCTTTCACGCTCTTGTCGGGGTGTTAATGAGATGCTCAGCAGAGTGTGCTCAGAAACTAAAATTATACTTCTTTATATTATGAATTGAATTGACATAGTTATTGATGAAATATGTATGGAGGAGATCCAGCTGCTCATTGAAAATTGCCTGAAGGCTCCAGGAAGGAAGTCACTTTGTGTCTCATCACACCAAACTTGAAGACTTGAGAGACTTAATCCCAAGCCTTGTTTTAGCAGCAACAGACTAGTTTCACAAAGAAACTTGATGGAGTTTCTCTGAGATCACACTTTGATTTTTTTTTCAATGTTTCTTTGTAGTCCAGCCATTTTCATCACATGCTTCTGAGAAACTGACGTGATAGGTACTCTTGACAACATTCCCTGATGCTACTGAGAAGCTGAAGTCCTTTTTTTTAGCCATATTTAGGCATATGTTTACATCCTATATGTCTTTATTATGAACAGATTAAGTATCTTGTTTGCCACGTTCTGCTGAATATTTTTTTTGCTATAATGGAAGGGGTACCTGAGGTTAATCAGTAACTTTTATTTCAGGTGCCTTATGGACTAGGAGGACACTCTGAAAGGCCTCTGGTTAGGGAAATGGGTGCTTCAGAGCATCTGCCTAGGCTGCTGATGCTGTGATCAGAGCTCTGGAGAAGCTGGTCTCCTCTGGTCATAGAGGTAGCCTCAGGAAAGTCGTCTTTTGTGCATGGAATTAGCCTTCAGGGCTGCTTTTCCCCATGGTCCCTACTTTCCATTGTGCTTCCCACTTTGGACTCCTTTCCAGGCCTGCAACCATTCAATTTTCCTGCTCCCTCTGGTTCTATGCTCTTCAGTCATTTCTTTTTTTGTGAATTAGGAGCTGATAGTTGTGAAGAACTGTGTTGAAATTTCTTTCTCTGTCCTCTTTAAAATGGGATTGAACATTTTGGCAGAAGTGAGGGCATCCCTGCAAGCTGTGACCCTCAGTCCTTCAAAGCACTGAACCCTTCTGCCTTGTCTGTTGTTTCTCAGTCTGCTCAAAATACCCTTTTCATTGATTTATGAGTGGTTTATAACTGTCAGCCAGGAGCCTTGCAAATGCAAAGATGAAAATTCTAGCAGACATCTTTAAAAACTTGTTTCTGGACTGGTTTTCTGTGCTGATAAAGTCCTTCTAGATTTCTCTTTGTGTTTTAGAGCTCCAGTTCAGAGTGCAATGTTGCATTACAAATGTATTTGTAGCCTTACGTTCTCACTTTCTGGCTTGTTTTAAGTGACTATTAGTTGAAAAATGGATATTTACCCTTTTTCCCTCCTGTTTACAACACATTTCCCTTTTCTTACCCAAGTCAAGCCGATTTGTTTCATGAGCTCCTTTCTTTTGTGCTAATGGCTATGTGTTTATTGCCCTTCTCTGGTGTTTATGCCGATCATCTCTGTCTTTGAATCCTTTCTAGCTTTTTCCCTTTGCTTTTACTCTTTTAGCTTTTGCCATTAGAAGCCAAAAAATCCCGATTCCTGATGCTCATGAAAGCAGCAACTGCAGATCTCAGTGATGCATGACTGTGAATTCTGTTGGAGCTTACTAGAAAGGCTCTCTCTTTGTTTTGGGGTGGCGTGTTTGTGTTGCTATTGGTTCCTGCCGCTGACTCGCTCTGTGGAGTTTGGGATTGAAACTCTTACGCTTTATCTAGGATTTAAAAAGCAAATAGAGCATCACACTGACCTATTTCAGCCTTTTTGTTTTGCAAATGTG